ATCCCAGTTTCTATCCCTGAAAGAATTGTCTGGTTTGCAATATACGTAAATCAATTACGTCAGTATAAACAAATGTTCATTTATGTCCAAAGCCACCTCCCAGTCTTATTCCAATAAACACTTTATTAGGTGTGCCTCCACTAATATAGTTTATTTACAACAATGCCCCTGTGACTTGCAGTATGTAGGGAGGACTACAAGACCACTTAGTGTGCGTTTAAATGAACATATTAATCACATAAAAAAAGGGGCTTAAGTGACATAGTGTCCCCAAGCATTATGCTTTTTATCATAATGGGGACAATACTGGAACCCTTTTTTGGGGATAGGGAAATATATACCCCCATGGAGGGGTGATTCAGTGAACAGGGGGATTTCCCAGCTTGAGACCCGCTCGATTTTATGAAATTGAGTCCTACTCACCTCATGGTATGAACGTTGAGGGGGACGTGAATTCATTTATTAATAATGCGTGCCGTCCCACTTGTCATTTCTTGATCTTATGTATTTACTGTATATATACTTTGTACTGTTTATATAATATGGTAGAGTATGTACTTACCATTATGTTATTTTAATACAATCTGGGTATTATTGTATGTTTTACATCAGACTTATTTAGGTCTCTGTTTCTTGTATGCACTTATTTTAGATTAACTAAGGTACAGAATAAACATGGGGTAATCCATCCTTTTCTTTTTTTCTATTTTTTCTATTTTTATATAAATTTCTAGTTTGAACACCAAATAGCGTTTTTGCCTTGATCCTTTTGGTTGTGATTGGCCCGTGATGTTCTTCTAATGGTAGATATCCTGGCAAATTTCAGAAAGAGGCTTGGACATGTAGATGGTTTTAGTCTGTTTCCGGTTTCCCCCTGTTTGCTCTCTATAAATAATGTGTGATGGCTGAATACAACATCCATGCCCCGGAATATGTGAGATGTGATGAAATGCATAGGGGGGGCAACATTTGTGATGTCGTCATGTGTCCAGAAGTAGCTTTTTCGATTCCCAGGAATGGCTTATATTAATTTGAAGCTTTACCTTGTGTACATTTGTGAGTATTTAAAATCAAACATTAGAGATGGTTTTACACAATGGAGTATCTGGCTTTCTTTGCATGATCAATCTGGAGTCTTGGAGGATATTTATTAAAGACTTACATATGTGGAATGTTACATGGTGCCACAGAGGAATCCCTTTGACATAAGCACACACTGACTCTGTTAATTAGAGGGTCATATTATTCTAGTAATCGTGTCCATTGGTTATACGTTGGAGGATTCCTGTGTTGTGTTTTTTTGAGTGACAAGATTTGCACAGAATTATTGCTTAGGTGTCAAATTTCTGCACAGCTCATTTCACTGTGGATGGTGGACTTAATTACACAGATTTTGACTGTTTTGCATATGGTTTATTATTTATTATTTGTTTGAGTGCTCTTTTATCACCCATAAAATATTTTAAATCCCAATCTGTATCATTTTTTAGTACTTGAGCTACTACTAAAGTTTAACAAATACACTTAGTTCTCAGACCACAATATCTTGGCGTGGCATTTTGTTTTCATCAACAGAACGGAAATTGAGTTTTTGGTTATTACATATATTTTAGAAATAACCATCGTTAAGACATGAGGCATTGTTATATTGATTTAGAACAGCATGTACTCTAAGATGTTTGTTGTCTGCTTCATTTAAAAACAAAAGTGTATGTTCTACAATACATACCATATGAAAACAAAGAGAGGTTGGTGTTTAATGAGCTATAGAGAAATTGCTCAAGAAATGTAGGTCTGCCCTGGTTAATCAAATGATTCTTGTCGAAATTGTGGCCCTTTTTAAGCTGTTATTTCTTGCTGAAACTTTACATTGTTTTGTTACTATGGAATTATCAGTTCAGAACATGGATAAATTACAGATAAATCTATTTTAGATTTTACTTTTACCAATGCAGTTTAGACATATTACATTAAACTGAGCAAATAAAATATTGCAATATTTAATTTTTTCTTTTAAACTGTATTTTATTGGGTTCTTGTTGTACACAGATGACATGGTAGAAGGTGAAGCACAATAAATAGAGTCAATCTTTAGTTGTACATGTGGAAGACATAAGTAAAAAGCACACACTGTAATACACATGAACAGGCATGTAAAATATACAGAACTTGAGATGAAGAACAAATGCATTATATAATTAACCTTGACAGGCTGTTATATCCAGAAAAACACAAGACTAGGGTACAGCATACGAATAAAAAGTTAGAATTAAGAGTAGAGAATGAAGGAGGAGAGGAGAGAAAAAGATCAAGACAAAATTGGGGAGGGGGGGGGGTGACAAGGAAAAAGGCACAAGCCGCCTGCTATTTTGGGAAACCAAAATAAACATACTACTCAGGTAACAATTGCAAAAGATGCTTGGCAAAGTTGGATGGGAAAAAAATGCTTCACCCAAGGGGCCCAGGCTTTATCAATGCTAGACACTCTGTCCAGTAGCTTTGCTTTCATTTTTTCATAGATCAAGGCCTCGTAATCTTGTTCTTAACCCCGTGGAAATTCAGGACCAGAGATCTCTATGACTTAGCAATAATTTTTTTTGGTGGCTCAGAAAATAAATACCACGGTTTTAAACTGAGAAGGAAAAATGTCAGCAGCAGGGGCGGACTGACAACTCATGGGGCCCCTGGGAAATAGGGGATCATGGGGCCCCTGTGTCCTTGCCCACACTCAAAAAAACCTATAAAAAAGGTACCAGGGGCAATTCATGGGGCCCCCTACTGACCCCGGGCCCTCGGGCAGTGCCCGAGTGCTCGAATGGTCAGTCCGCCTGTCAGGAATGGACTGGCCAGCAATAGTGGGACTCACCTGCCTTATGAGCTGCAGTACCAGGGCTGGCCAGCGGGTGCTCCCAGCAATCAGAGACTCAACTTTGCAGCCAATCAAACACCTGGGACTAATTATACTGGTGTATTTAAGGGATGGCCAGACCTGCAGACTCTGCCTTGGTGTGTGTTTTTCCTGGGCCCTGTATCTTGTAAACCTGCGTTCCTGTTCCTGTTCCTGTTCCTGTTCCTGTTCCTGTCTTGTTGCTGACCCTGCTTGATTCTGACCTCTGCTTACTTCTCCTGTTCTGATCCCTGGCTTGTGACCCTGACCATCCCTCTGCCTGACCCTCTGTACCACGCTGCCCGCTACCTGCTGAACCTGGCCTGTGACCCCGACCATTCTCCGCTTGCTCCTCCTGTACCTACCTGCCCGATTGATATTGACCCGGCCTGCCTGACGACGCTTGCATTGTATGTACTGTTATCTGTGGGTGGTTTGGTTTGGTTTGTTTGCACTGTGTTATGTTTTAGTATTGCACTGCGTTTATGTTTGTATTGTTAGTGTTAATAAATTATATTGTTTATAACATATCTGAAGTCTGCGTTTCTCTGCGTCAGTCACATACCTCTGGTCACACCCCGGGAGCCCTGACATTACACCAAGGCCAATCCTGACCAGAAGTGGCTGCACAGGGAAGCCATCTTGGTTTGTTGATGGGTAGGATGGATCTTGATGAGGTTGTGTATTTATATCTGCTAGTGTTTGATTACAGAGAGTATGCTTATCAAACTCTGAAGGAGTATCCCCGGGATGAACTGCTAGAATGTATACGGCTCGCTCATGTTCTAGTAGATCAGGGCACAGAATTCTCTGAGGTGCAGCCATTGATTCAGGTTTGTGCGGAGTTGGTTTCATCTGGTACCCCCGAATGCAGGGATGAATTTTTGCCGCCATTTAGTGCCGACCAGGTAGAGTCCCTGGTATGGTTATTAGAGGATGATGTGGATTACTTTCTGGAGCATTATGCTGCATGTTCACCACAGACACTAAGAGATTGTATAAACGCAGTGCAGTCTTTGGTCAGACAGGCTTTGTGTAAGCTCAGCTTTGTTCAACCCATACTGCAGACATGGACAGATTTGTTGCACCCAGCCTCAGTCAGCTTACAAAAACCCAGTCCTGCTTCTAATCTATTTCCTCAAAGCTCTATTCCTGCATTCCCAACAGCTCCTCCTGCCCTGCGATCTACTGCATGTCAGTACCCTGTTCCCACTCGCTGCACCTATCCTGCCTTTAACCCTGTAAAAAAGCCCTCTGTAGCAACTGCTCCCTCCTCTGTTCCATCCTCCAGCTCTTCTCTGTCTCCAGCTGCTCCATTCGTTTGCAGACCTGCGTTTACTTGCAGTGCTCCAGTAGTTAAAACCAGAAAAAAGCGAAAATTCTTTCCAACCAATACCATCCTGCCAGTATCCAAACCGGTGAGCCTGCCGTCTGAGAACCTGCCTTCCGTGGTTCAGCCTGATGCCTCTCTTCAGCCTGATGCCTCTCTTCAGCCTGATTCCTCTACTCAGCCTGAAGCCTCTACTCAGCCTGAAGCCTCTACTCAGCCTGAAGCCTCTACTCAGCCTGAAGCCTCTACTCAGCCGGATGCCTCTACTCAGCCGGATGCCTCTACCCAGCATAATGAACTGATCCAGCCTGATGATCCTATTAGGCCAGTTGACTCGATGCCCGCTGTTCCGCCAGTTGACTCGGTGCCCGCAGTCTTGCCAGACGACTCGGTGCCCGCAGTCTTGCCAGACGACTCGAAGCCCGCTGTTCCGCCAGTTGGCTCGGTGCCCGCAGTCTTGCCAGTTAACTCGGTGCCCGCAGTCTTGCCAGTTGACTCGGAACCCACTGTCGTGCCTGGTGACTCGGTGCCCGCCGCTCCGCCTGGGGGCCGAGACCTGTCGCTCCGCCTGGGGGTCCAGCGCCCGCCGCTCCGCCTGGGGGCCCGAGACCTGTCGCTCCGCCTGGGGGCCGATGCCTGTCGCCCCGCCTGGGGGCCCGATGCCTGTCGCCCCGCCTGGGGGCCCCATGCCTGTCGCCCCTCCTGGGGGCCCGATGCCTGTCGGGCCCCATCTGGGGGCCCGGTGCCTGTCGCCCCGCCTGGGGGCCCGATGCCTGTCGCCCCGCCTGGGGGCCCGGTGCCTGCTGCTCCGCCTGGTGGCCCGCTGCCTGCTGCTCCGCCTGGTGGCCCGCTGCCTGCTGCTCCGCCTGGTGGCCCGGTGCCTGCTGCTCCGCCCGGGGGCCCGGTGCCTGCTGCTCTGCCCGGTGGCCCGCTGCCTGCTGCTCCGCCTGGTGGCCCGCTGCCTGCTGCTCCGCCTGGTGGCCCGGTGCCTGCTGCTTCGCCTGGTAATCCGATGTGCCCCTCTCCTCGGAGTCCAGCCCGATGTGCCTCTGCCCGGAGTCCAGCCCGATGTGCCTCTGCCCGGAGTCCAGCCCGATGTGCCTCTGCCCGGAGTCCAGCCTTATGTGCCTCTGCCCGGAGTCCAGCCCGATGTGCCTCTGCCCGGAGTCCAGCCCGATGTGCCTCTGCCCGGAGTGCCTCTGCCTGGTGTGCCGCTGCCCGGAGTGCCTCTGCCCGGAGTCCAGCCCGATGTGCCTCTGCCCAGAGTCCAGCCCGATGTGCCTCTGCCCAGAGCCCAGCCCGATGTGCCTCTGCCCGGAGTCCAGCCCGATGTGCCTTTGCCCGGAGTCCAGCCCGATGTACCTCTGCCCGGAGTCCAGCCCGATGTGCCTCTGCCCGGAGTCCAGCCCGATGTGCCTCTGCCCGGAGTCCAGCCCGATGTGCCTCTGTCCGGAGTCCAGCCCGATGTGCCTCTGCCCGGAGTCCAGCCCGATGTGCCTCTGCCCGGAGTCCAGCCTGATGTGCCTTTTCCCGGAGTCCAGCCCGATGTGCCTTTGCCCGGAGTCCAGCCCGATGTGCCTTTGCCCGGAGTCCAGCCCAATGTGCCTCTGCCCGGAGTCCAGCCCGATGTGCCTCTGCCCGGTGTGCCTCTGCCCGGTGTGCCTCTGCCCGGTGTGCCCCTGCCCAATGTGCCGCTGCCCGGAGTCCTGCCCGGTGTGCCAGTCTTTGATATCCCGCCAGTTACCAGACCCGGGCGGTGGAACATTTTGCCCAGCTAGGACTGTTTGGAGCGTCCTGAGGCCGCTCCTTGAGGGGTGGGTACTGTCAGGAATGGACTGGCCAGCAATAGTGGGACTCACCTGCCTTATGAGCTGCAGTACCAGGGCTGGCCAGCGGGTGCTCCCAGCAATCAGAGACTCAACTTCGCAGCCAATCAAACACCTGGAACTAATTATACTGGTGTATTTAAGGGATGGCCAGACCTGCAGACTCTGCCTTGGTGTGTGTTTTTCCTGGGCCCTGTATCTTGTAAACCTGCGTTCCTGTTCCTGTTCCTGTCTTGTTGCTGACCCTGCTTGATTCTGACCTCTGCTTACTTCTCCTGTTCTGATCCCTGGCTTGTGACCCTGACCATCCCTCTGCCTGACCCTCTGTACCACGCTGCCCGCTACCTGCTGAACCTGGCCTGTGACCCCGACCATTCTCCGCTTGCTCCCCCTGTACCTACCTGCCCGATTGATATTGACCCGGCCTGCCTGACGACGCTTTGCATTGTATGTACTGTTATCTGTGAGTGGTTGGTTTGGTTTGTTTGCACTGTGTTTTGTTTTAGTATTGCACTGCGTTTATGTTTGTATTGTTAGTGTTAATAAATTATATTGTTTATAACATATCTGAAGTCTGCGTTTCCCTGCGTCAGTCACATATCTCTGGTCACACCCGGGAGCCCTGACACCGCCCCTCCTGAGCAGTGCTTCTGGCAGTTCCAGGTTAAGTTGGTGGTGTGTTTAATGAAATTTTGTAATGCTATATGAAAGCTAAAATTTATACAGACATGTATTATTTGACTGCATCCAACATTTAAATGACTCTTGAGATTTCGCACCAGGGGTAAAAGAGGGAATATATGTAGGCAAGACAATAAAGGGAGATGCAGTGAGATGAGATACCCAGATAGCAGAGATTTAAACTCAGATGGGGGGAGTTATAACTGGATTTTGTACTCTAAGTCTATCTTTTGGAAAAAGAAGTCAGAGTATTGCCTACAGTATTCCAGGGGATCTATTTCTGTTGCATAATTGCTCACCCACGAAGGGATCCCAGTAGTAGAGTGATATTTTGTCAACTGGCCAATCTGGGTGGCAGGATAGTGCTTTTAAAATGTTGAGATTATAAAAGGAAAAAAGGTTTCACTGCATTCCTCCATCTGTATGAAATAAATCAGCAGGGTACTACAGAGTGGTATGTACACCCACACCAACCATATTCAAAGAAAAGCAACACTAAAAATATGCATCATGTTCATATAAAATATAAAAGTAATTACATAAATACATAATATTAATTAAATAATGGCATCAAAATTCCCAATTTATAAATCCACATTCTGATGGAAAAATCTTTTCTATTAATGAAGTAATATAACAATGCATTATACAGTCCCACAGCTTTGGTTAAAATGTGGCTAACACTTTTTCCCTGCAGAAGATCTTGCAAACTTCCACCATAATCTGAAAAAAAAAAAACACAGAACCTCTGTAATACCAGCAGTATAAAACTGCTCCAATTCATTGCATTCCTAATATCCTGGATGCTGTGAAGATACTTCTGCTGATCCATGGATATGTCACCTCTCTCTCAGCTCCGAGTCCATGAAATGCTGCAGCACATATTTTTTTAATACATAGTAAATAGTGTTGCACTGTTCCTTTAATTAAATTTATATCAAAATCAATATTGTACAAAAAAAGATATTGTGAATATGAGAACACATCAGACAAGTGAACACAGTGCCCAGACATAATATAACTGAATCAAGTCCATAATAAAACAGCAATACTGTAGCTGTGATCCTGGGTGCAAACAGCTTCTTCCTCCACCGCATCAATACACAAATCTGCTTACCAGATGCCTAGACCCCACGGTATAAGAGGTCCAAAGGCACTTGTTTATAATGGAGTAGGAAACCAGCAGCATAGATGTCTCTTTTCTCATGTATGAGCTCCAGTAAAGTCAGGCCGGGCAACAATGCACCAGAAGAGAGAGAGAAAAAGAAATGCTAGGCGAAAAAAGTGTCCCCTTTCTAACATGTTTGAATGAGTCAGCTAAGTAAGGTGGTTCAAATCACTGAATTTTTTTTTTATTGTTTTGTTTCTATTACTAGTCTACACATTTGCACCATCTCAGATCCTATTAAGTTTGTGGGAAACTCAATATTTCGAAACCCATTGGCTAGCATTGAATTCTACTTATTACCCTTTGCATAATATTATGAAACATGCACCATATTTGTTTTACTGCCTGGTGTGTTAACAAGAAGTTAAGGTTATCTTTTGCTTTAAGAAGTTTGGATTTATTAAGGGGTGTTGGATGCACCTTAAAGGAATTAGCACATATTTAATATTCCCTTTAAAGTCATATGAGGTGGGATTGTCTCTCTTTTTTAAGATGGGAAGCAATTTGCATTAGTTTACATCTGTAGCCCCATCCTCGAAGGCGCTGTTGGTACCTTTGAATTCTCTATTCTGTGCCTCGACAACCTCAGCCCCTTTGACACACCTGGTTGACTAAAAATCACTGCAAACATATATAAATACTCAAATGTAAAATACATTTAACCTGGCCGTGGGATAAGACCAGTAAATAGACATACAGCTGTTAGGAGGTAAATGCCCTTAATCTATTGATACGGGTTAGAATAAATGGCAAATTTAACATATATGAACACACAGCTGATTATAACACAGTCTGCTAGACAAAGTAATAACTATGTTAAATTGGCAAAAATTAGATTTTATAACCCTAACTCAGCTCAAAAGGGTAAGTTAGTAAATCAGCAATAAACAATATTATTAATCGTTAAATAATAATAATTATTATACAGTATTTATATAGCGCCAAAGGGTTTGCTCAGTGCTGTACAGTAGCAAGGGGGACAGAACATGAGACAAGACAGTAACAATACAATACACGAGGGGTTCGAGGTTACAATCTAGGTTAAATGCAATATAAATGATGATAACACTACACTAGGTTAGAGTGTAATCTAACTAATTGGCTGTGATGCAGCATCTCTTAAGAGGTACCTCTAACAAAAAAAAAAAAAAAAAGTCCCAGGGCAGCTACTGTTAGGAGTAGTCTCTAGTCCTGACTCTTCAGCCAGCTAAATGTTGGAGCCCATTGGCGTGCGTTAAAGCAGTCAATAAGGCCTGCAGGCAGTAATAGATCTATGGAGTAACTGGAAAATAGTTCCTAATAGCTCAGTCACTAACAGTGATAATAAATAGTGGCTACAAAGCCCTCTCACCAGACAGTATCAGTGGGTAGAGGGAGATAGATCAGGCTGTTTTTTGTGCACTAAGTATTCCTGGACAGACAGTTCTACATTGAAAGGAACTACAGAGTCCGACAGCAATTAATTGCTCAAAACCCAGTCTGCAGAGGTAAGTTTAGGGAGTATAGAGGATTGTGACACACTAAGTCATGGGCAGACTTGGGGACTGGGGTAATATAAAGAATTGACAAGAAAGGGCCTGTATAGGGATGTGAAAAATGTATAATAAATTCTTATAACAATATCATGAGGATGGGAATAGTAAGTATAGTCATGTTACACTAGGAGCATGTCAGGGGTTGATTCCCAGTTCCACATGCAGGGACAAGAGATGACATGTCATTGTCTTAAAGTGCACAAAAGGATGGTGGTTCAGAAGGCTTCATAGTGGACCTGAGCTAAGTGACCGGTAGCCAGGGTAATATAGACAGGATCAGGGGCGGACTGACCATTTGGAAACTCGGGCACTGCCCGAGGGCCTGGGGTCAGTAGGGGGCCCCATGAGATGCCCCTGGTACCTTTTTTCATAGGCTTTTTTGAGTCTGGGCAAGGACACGGGGCCCCATGATCCCCTATTGCCTGGGGGCCCCATGAGTTGTCAGTCCGTCCCTGGACAGGATTCATGGCTCCTCTACATTCTGAGAACCTGAGGGTAGAAAACATGGAAAATTATATTTTAGGTACCCTGGAGATCGTGGGGGGAGGAGTTAAAGGAGCCTGCATCTGCTTCTGAGCAGGCTCAGCAAAGGGGCACTCCACTACACAATCATGTCTAACCACCACAGACTTGCTCAACCAGCTGTAGTACAACCAGCTGCTATCAAGGGCTGATTTGATTATTATGCTATTAGGGCAGTTTGTTAAAGATTCCTGAAACAGGACACTGTGTTTATAGGAGACAAATGTTTAAGTCATAACCATAACTCAACTGACTCAATTTCTGAAATAACAGAAACTGTGCTTAACAAGAATAAACAGATTAATGAGCTTTGTGTGTGGAGTAAGGTTAGCTTCCTAAATGTAGTAAGTTTGATGGAACAGAACCAGGATAATGTCAGTGCTTAAATGCCAGACCTTCCAACCGTTTACAGGTCTACCTCTCCACAAAGTAATATACGGTTTGTGCGGCCCCTATTTTTTGGTGGTCATTTAAGGAAAAATAATCCCCATATCTAAATATTTGTATTGCACAGGATCAAGCATTGACATTTCATATTTTTCTTTCTTAAAATGAATGATTAGGCTGGCTTTGAATAACAGTAGTCCCAATAATTTTAAGAAAATACATTCTAAGCTTACTAGAGGAAGTTGAGCAACATCAAAAAAACATTCTGGAATGTATCACTTGGATATTGGGAATAGTTAATGTCTTCGCTGT